AATTTCATAGTGTGGCAATTTCATCGTGGACACCCTTTAATCGATTCACCCCTCGAAACATAGGATAATCCAATAACCCCTCATTCTATTTGTCAAACTTTCATAGCGAATCAAAACAAACATTGTGTAGTACTACAATTTTGACTAGAATAGGGTACGTTAATCGATTTGCTTGGGACCAATAGGCTAGTCAAGTAGTGAGACAATTTAAAATCGTTAGTTTCGTATTGATTGTTGGTATATACGAGGGTAATCGCTGTGCCTGTCCTGTGTATAAGTAAAACGAGCATCAAATAACACGCATGTGAGTTTTTTTTGTTGAACATTAATTCCTCTTGGTTCAACGAATGAGAAGATTGACAAGCGCTAGATCGTCGGCCACTGCTGGAACTGTTAGTCGATGTTACGATGACCGTTGCCAACCTCAGTTCTACCCCTCCACGAGATGGAGAAAGGTGACTGATGGTAGAAGTTGTCCACCCATGGTAGGCGTCACACACTGTGACACACTCCAAACACCTTGTCATGCAGGCTGCCACTCGATAAAAGATAATTTTTCATCAATTCTGGCACCGCTTACAAGAATCTTTACATCATGTGTTGTTTATAATAGACCAATCCATGATCTGATTTTATCATCCCCGTTGGACAGTATGATGAGTAAACAAACCAATCAACCCAACAAACAATTTGAGCTGATTAAAAGCTGAACACGCAAATTTTTAGCTGAAGAAGCAAGGTCTTATTCAGCTTTGAATGTTTGTTGGGTAACCTGTCAAATTAGAAAATATTTAGAATGATTGCTTTATTTATATGAACCAGGATATCAGCTGAGACAGGATTGATTTGTAGACTGAATCTAACTACATTAGATTGAGCACCTCATGCGAACAATTCTCGAGAAACGCCACCGTAATCCAGACCTTCTTCCCATCGGAAGATGATGTACAGGCTTCGCCGTAGTTCGTAAGCTGGTAGGTGCCTGAGTTTGTGGTAGGAGTCTTCAAAAAAACCGTTCGTAGGCTCGTGGAACTCCGTAGACAGTTTTTCTACCCTTCAGTGCACCAGGCAGTGGGTCTTCAAATGTTGTTTTTTGATTGTTATGATCTACAAAGAACCACTCCCCAATTGCCGTTGAACCTGATTTTCCCAAAGGTTTGTTCCGTATAATTGGCGATGATAGCACCGTCAAAACATCGTCTCTTCTTGCAAAGATTGACAGTTTGTTATGAAAATTTTCGTTGCAGTGAATGGATAGTACAAAGTCCACCATGTATCTCTCACAGTCTGACTTTTGCTTATTGGATTTTACCATAGGAGTAAAGAGCTACAGGGTCCCCGTCAACGCCAATAAACAACTACGATCGCAGAGGGATCTGTCATTTTCAGCGTTGTGGAAATCATGGTTGCCAGTAAACATTGTATGGTACCGCTTGACGTTTTGACAGCTTGTTCGACACAGAAACACCCTGAAACACCCAAAAACACACAAGAACCACAATCAGCACAGTCACAAGGCCCCTGACTCAACCGGAAAGTGGAAGATGTGCCCCTACATTATCATCATGCTAACTGCTCTTCTTCGTCTTTCTAGAGGCTCTCAACTTCTTACTTTTAATCCGTTCATCCACATCTTCCATCGACTTATATCCAACAGCATCCAAATGCTGGTCCAGGATCTTGATACCGGTTGCCAACGTTTGATCCGCTTTGTCTCTCCTTGTTATATTTTTCATCCTTGCTTGGTCTGGCCGGAATTGCATATTTATAGCCCTAAAACTGCTGGCGGTTCCGATTACGTTTATCAATACCGCGGTTCAGGTTAGCTTCTTTACCTCCGGTTTGGTTACCTTTACAATTCTGCAAGCAACATCATTTCTAATGTTGCTAATACGGGATCCATTAACTCCACCAGCCTCCACGGTCAATCTAAACTCAGAGATCTTTCAGTCTATAGAATGAGCTGTTTGGCAGACTGATTGGTGGACCATCAATTGTACCGAATGGTTATCCGGGATAAACTGATGTGGTTGCAGACGCATCTACAGATTGGCAGAATCGTTCTGCATCGAGTTATTGTTGACACCATACATCAATGCTGCAATTGGAACTGGATTCTGCAATTCTATTTACTTTTACAATTTGCATTCTGTCCGGCCATCTGGGGTAAGCAGGCCTATTATACGTGGCTCTAACTAATTTGTTTGGGCTTCCCCCAAAACATAAATCCTTTCGAAACTATGGACATCAAATACCCTGTAGACTTTCGTTAGAGGTCATCCCCAGGGCACGGAGAGTCTCGTCAATTGTGAAAACTTCCCCCTTACTTTGAAGTAAGCAAAGTCGTAAACCTGAGAAACGCTTGGCAAAATGTCAACACAAAGCAGTGATGCTGTTTTATATTATATTCTGTGCCATCTGTGTCATCAGTGTGCTCGGATGTGCTTCGGCACAGTGTGCAGAATTGATAACCCCTTGATCCATCTCCACACCTTCCGTTCCTCGGTCCGTCCGAGCGTCATGAGCGTGCGCGCCGGAAGTCACGAGAGCAACTTGTAAATATTTTGTAGAAGGCAGATCAGTCGGATAATGTTGCTGTAGATGAACTACCGCCAGAGTGTTTGAAGGAAATCGTGGAAAGTAAACCCTTACTGCGCGCCGCCGAAGCAAAAAAGAAGCAATCCTAGGATCTCACTGAGCACAAACCTGAAAGTGACCAGCCAAGAGCTTCCAGCTGGGATCCTTCGTAGAAACAACACTTTATCAGACCATTCAAGCTACAGCAACATAAAAAATGCTGGAATTCTCCGTCCTGTTGGAATTCGGAGGTAAAATATGAAATTCGTTTATCTGGCTCTTAGCCATCATATCAAGAAGACTGGCAACTTTGCCAGAATCCAAGCGACAGATACAATAGCGCTGCACTTGAGTGAAGGTGGAAGTAACGCATAGAAAAATGAGCAAATGCAAAAACCTTTCTTCTGAGGATGTAATCTTTGCTATCAAATTCGTTCGAAGCATTTACCTTTAAGCGGCAGATAACGTGATTGTACCTGTCTCATAGCGTTCGTATGAGAAAATGGAAGAGTTGCCAGTCTTCTTGATTTGTTGCCTTTGCTCTTAGGCAAAATTTTGTCCTGCGCATCTCCCTGGGTAAAGCAAATTATATGGAAAAAGGTTCCGTCATTCATGTCTTCAAACATCGGAATCAGAGTCGGTGGATAATGAGTCACGCCAAGACTGAAGCCAAAGGCATAGCCAGAGGGGGGCAGGGGGGGGGGCTAAACCTAGTAACACAAAGGCTTCCGGTGAAATGGCTTTCGGTGAAATGGCATTCGGCCAAATTTTCCATAGAATTTTTTTTTCGCCCCTCCCTAGCTCGAAACCTGGCTATTATACCGGTAAACGTCAAATTTCTTTATGTTATGGCACAGAGAACAGACATCCAAGTCAAATTCCTAAAGTGTGTAAGTAATTTAACTGCTATTTTGAATAGACATTTGAAACTAGCAATATCGTGGTGGCGCCAGTGCTGCTGCCCATCGACGTCGATGACCGGCAGACGTCATCTTAACATTAATGTCAACATTATTGTGAGCAAAACATTGTTTGTTAAAACCGATCAAAACATGGGCCGCAAGTGCCAGTTTTATTGGTGCGCAATTAAACAAGGTGTTACCAAGCGAAAATCTTTCTACAATTGCCGGAACTACTGGAGATTTTCTTCTCACGTTGATTCGAAGCGCTTCCCTAATAAACAAATACAATAAACGAACTGTATCCTGGATGGGTAAACTATCCCACAAATGGTTTGGATGATACCCCGAACACGTCGTTAAGCTCTCTTTTATGGTTATTTTTATTAGGGTAGTTCGAAGGCTCTTCGAATTTCTAGAAGAACATATGCAGAGTTCAAATCTTATCACATTTTTCTGAATTTAAATGAGAGCTTATTGGAGTTCACACCCTCATTGAATCATTTGAAGATACGCCGCCAGAATCAAGAAAAGTCAGTTTTGCTCCTGACTACTATGCCCAGTTAAAATTGAAACGAAAAACGGTTGAAGATCTACAGGAAACTGTAAAAGAGCTTACTTTTTTAATCTAAAATAATGGTTCCGCAGAAACAGGATTGATTTTCGTTGTTTTGTCTTGTTTGTTTAGAACAGATTTGACCGTTCATTTAGATACACGGTCAATAAGATCAATCCAAATTTTAGTTCTGTTTACTCATTAATCCCTAATAACGCGAGTTGCAACATTCCTTATGGCGGCGCTAGTTATTATTTATTATTAATTTATTTGATAAGGCTCAACCGAATTAACTTTACAGAGCCGAGGATTCTTGGTCACTATACAATACATCTTAAAACTATAGTCAAAAGGTACAACACAATAAACACTTTATCTTCCGCTATCCAAAAAGCCTCCTCCATCAGAACTGGAGCCGCTTCCAGTGGTTTCATTGTATGGCAAATTGTTGTACGCCAACGAGGGTCAGAGCGCGTCCATTGCAGCAATGGACGCAAAACGTGGTCAGCACTCACACACCCATCACGAAACGGTTGCTTTCCAAAGTCGACGACGCATCGACCGAAAGAACTGCTGATGAAGAACAATGAGGAGGACCACACAATGGTTGCTGCCGAGAAAACAGACGATCGCGTAGCACACATCGAGAGTGGCCTGCTTTCGACGACAGCCGAGTGAACACTGATATGGCGGCGCTAGTGTTTCTAACGTTTTTTAATTTGAATTCTTACACATATTTTTTCGAAAATTTGTTTAAGCTTGGATGTCTGTTCTCTGTGGTTATAGCGAATTTGTTTATTATCGGAACCGAATTTTTGTCAGTGCGAACCTCAACCTGAGGTAGGTTTTAAAAACAAACGATCAAACTGACGTTTGTCAGAAAACAAGCAGACCCGATCTTGATACCCGATCCATTACATCCATTACAAATTCGCTAATAGATCCATTCAAATCCCAATCGAACTTACCTCCTGATAAAAGTTGATAATCCACGTGAAAAGCAGGAATCCCACGAAGAGCAGCCATTGTTGTTGTTGTTGTTGTTGTTGTCGTCGGTGTTATTGCGTGTGTTTACGTTGTCACGATGTGAGAAGAGAAGAAAAATCGCCACACAATACATTTTGGATTTCGTGTTTGGACTTTGTTTTGATTGGGTATTTTTTTTTTGGTTTGTTTGGATTGTTTGTTTATGTTGTGTTTGTTTCGACAGGGCGCGGGTTCAGTTTCGTTTCTAGTATAGCTGTTGTTTCTGTTGCAAAAGATCCAGGAAAAGGCTTAGAATGTAGCGGGGGGTTTTCTCTCAAGACTTGCAAGACGATATTGGTTAGTAATTGGTTTGGCACAGGATGAAAGGTTAGAATTTTCCGTTTCACAAAAAAACATCTAGAGACATCTCTTTCGGACAAATACAGGGAGAGGTTTTGGTTTTCTTCACACAGTATCCTCGAAAATAAAGCTAGTTTTTTCGTTAATTATGTACAACTTTCTATGCTAATTTCTTCTAAAGCATTTGCTTTCTAAATCTACTTAAAGGATTGACTAATTTTTGAACCGAAACAACTGCCACCAGTTTCCTTTTTTTGGAGTTATTGAAGGGCTGTTCATTAACTACGTAGACAGTTTCCCCCTGGCGTAGACAATTTTTTTACATTTGTATGGGCCGTGGATAATCGTCAACCCCCCCTAAAACTGTCTACGTAGCTAATGAACAACCCCTGACAGGAAGTGGAAGGGACAGGAATGCGCACAACCCTGTTTTGCAGTCTGTTGGTAAACAAAAGAAACAAAAACTGTGGCGATTTGGTCCTGATAAACGTCGGTTTCGCAAAAAATTTTGACCTAGGTTGCATCTCCATGTGGTACGCAAAATGGGACTGCCTTATTCAAATCTACACTCTTTATTGGGAAGCTTTTTCTGGTAGGGTTCCTGGTTTGTGGAGAGTGGGCGGGAATTTTTGGGTTTTTGACAGAAATCAGAGTGAACGGGAGGAACGGTGTCACATCGAGTGAAACAAAGAGACACGCATATTTATCACACGCACATGAAATGGAATGAGAAAAACAGAGAGACGGGACGGGAAAAAGCAACATGAGATGATCGGTTCCATTTTGATGTTACATTATTTCACGCTGGAATCGGTCAACTTACCCGCTCTTCGACGGCCACTTTCCGGGACTTCCACACGAACTCGCACACGGCAATCACGCAAGCCACGCCCATTCCGCCCATCAACACCACAAAGACACCGCCGACGTTGGCCAGTCCGAGTTCGTTCGCCGTGGAGCTGGCCTTTGACGTGTCGTCCTGGCAAATTAACGTTTGTTATTATTTTTCTCACCCTGTAAGTAAATCTAGAGTAACTTACCCTACAAGATCCTCCGCCGCGTTTCTCCTTCCACCAGCGGGTCTTCAGAATGTGCAGCTTACCTTCCTCTTGCAGCTTCAGGACGGCACCACTGATGGCCGTACGGAATGGGGAATCTGTGTCGAACGAAATGAAAAGCGAGGTTATGTTTACATTACTGATCGAACCTGTCACGCATCAATCACTCACTCGGTGGCATCGCAATCCCATAGCCCTTGGAATCGAGCATTCCTCCGACCTGGGTCAGTTCGCAGTTCCGTTCGATGACGTACTCAATCGAGGTCGATTCCATCAGAAAAGCGTAGCTCCCTTTTCCCTTGACAACCCGCTCGACTCCTTCGATGTTGCTGGCAGTGAAGACCGATGGCCGGGTGGATTCCATGAACGACCACATCCGTTGGTACGTCGAGAAGTTTGAATCCTAAATGATTTCGAAAGTCATATAATTACTTAAAATTGCAACCCGAGCCCGTCGGTACTGACCCTAAAGAACGCAGCCGTGCTGCCACCCCGCAGGGCACCGTACTTGATCTTGGTCTGTTTGGCCAGATCTTCGGCGCTCTCGATCGGCGAGTCCATCCGTTCAACGGTGAGGAACGCAGCCAGGTTGGCAGTGTAGGAGCTGATCATGATTAGCGTGAAGAACCACCACATGCCGGCGACCATTCGGGTGGACACGGCCCTTGGTTGGTGGGAGACGTTGTGAGCAGGGGTGGAAGGTGAAAGAAAAGAACGGAAAGTGGGTATCAGAAAGTGTGTTGACGATATGATCAATAATCCGATTTGCTGAAATTGACTACAACATGTTCTGCAGCGGATGTCACAAGTCACACAACTCAAAGGAATCTACTTAGAATTACGTAACTCAAATATGTGCAGGCATTAAAGTTTTAATAAATTACCTCTTGACTGGTAACCCTTTCTGAATTTATATGCTTCTGGCAGCTTTGTTATAAGCTACACGATTATTGTTGTTTAGTCTACTTATATTAGAATGAGCAATGTAGCACAATAATGCATTGTTCCAGTTTGCAAGTAGTGTCACTCACATCTCTTGTAAATGCCTTATTGAGCTCTGATTCTTCATTCTAACCATGTATAACCAAATAACGGTTATGAATACGCGAAATCAAATGGCTACAGAAGTGTAATAAGCTCAGATTGATTTCATACAGGCGTGACTTCTGTTTTGCTTTAAACAGTATGTTGGCGTATGGATCTAAGGTTGGGCCCATTGCTGGAAATCTGCTATTTATCAGTTTTATCTAGATGAACGCGTCATTGGGAAGGTACTATTGGATATTTTTGCTCGCTATTGCTATGTATGGACCCAAATTAGGGGCATTTAGGCCGATATTACATCCATTTCCCCTATTAACCAAAAACAGGGAGCGAATTATCAAATATCAGCAATCAATCTTAGTTTACCGAAATTTAAAGTATTTCACTGAGTACATCAGTAAATAGAGATTATTCCGAAATCAGCAATCGTGTTTACTACGATTTCGATTGACTATATCCATTGCTGAATTTTGGTAATCTAGCTTGTGGTAGATATGGTTGGTTTGAATCAATAATTATAATAATAATAGTAATACAATATAAGCATTTCTATTATAATGACAACAGCAAGATGTTTTGCTCCTTTTCTTTTGACATGTAGTATTGAGCGTACATGTACACACTACGAAAAAGACATGTACATTTCAGTGCCCTGAGACCGATACATGCAAGCAGCCCTTTTGACAGAAGAATCAGTTCAAAAGGACAAGATGGTGCCTCCGCCACTTCAAGTGAAAAAGTCGTGTAAATTTCAGTTCCCTGCGACCGACGCATGTAAGCGGCCCTTTTGACATACGAATCAGTTGAATGAAACGAGAAAATCAATTCAATAAAACGTTCTCTTCGTCGAGTTGCTTATGTTTCGGTTTGAGAACACTTAATTTTACATGAAATGTTGGTTTACGTTCCACGATTTACGTCCAATATGGATTACCTCTCGGGTAAAAGCAGCTATTTCTAAGTGTGCAGTTCAAAGTGTTGGAGTAGCAAAGTTGGTAGTATCAAGGTTTGTCAAAAATAAAGCAAAATAACAATAACAATTTTATTAGAGACATTCAATCGGGCTTCTACCTAATACATATAAAAGTAGATAGCCATACCTTTCGAATGGTGGCTGAATCATAATGATTGATTATCGCATTGCTGAGAACCAGCCATGTCAACATGCATCGACACGCATTTTGCAGCCTTGAAGCTATGTCAGTTAACGAAAGAGGGAGTCGATGACGAGAATCTCGTGTCACTTTTCAGTACGTTCTATTTACATTGAACGATTATCTTCATGGATTCTCTCTTTCGTTAATAACTTGGCTGCATTCATATTCCGGGCTAATTTTTCTACATAGTCTGTTAAAAGATAGCATTATTAAGCGTATTGGGTTGATAGAACAGCTGAACATGTTTTTGGAGCTGACTTATTAACGAAAGGGAGAGTCGATGAAGAGAATCGATCAAAGTTGATTGGTCTATTTGAAAAGTGACGCGAGAATTCATTTTAAAAAACCCGCCAACTTGAAAAAAGGCTTGATGATACAGATGTCAAAATTTTGCATGGCTTGTGGTTTTGAAATTACTTTACATGAACTTGAGTATTACTGTGGGGGACGAATAACGTTTGCATGTATTTTTTTTTTAGATTTTTCATGGGCTTACCTTCACCCGCACTGCCGAAACTAGCCATGCAGCATCAATCATAGTAACCCATGCGTCAGCAGACAAAAATTGACAGCTCTATCAGTCGAACTCTAACCGTGATGGCAAAAACAGTGAAGCAACTCCGTTAAGAAGTGTGCGCGTTCAAAGAACGGCACCCCGCCGCGTCGAAAACGGACATCGTGTGGCACTATGTGGACGCCGGATACGCCCGTTCCGACATCTACAACATCTTGGCAGTATTAGACAACAATCAGAGCATCGAAAGCCCGGTTCCGGACGGCCGACGACCCTGAGCGACAAGAAGCTCCAAAGGATGTTGAAGAGGAAGATATAGGGTAAAGTGGCTACATCGCTGCGTGCGCTTGGTCGGTACAACCGGCCAAACAGTGAAAAAGCACCTGGCGAACATAAACATACATGTCAGGAAGCGGAAGTCGCGTCCACTGGTTTCGGAGCTGCAGGCAATGACGCAGCGGCAGCGGCTGAATAAGATGGTCAACTCGTTTTTCCCGGCGAATAGCGTGGTGATGGACGACGTGACCTATCTCACCCTGGATGGCAACGACTGGAAGGGCACTTCGTATTTTACTTCTCCGAGCTCCGAGGTGAAGTTCATTTCACACACCAAGTTCCCCAAGAAGGTGCTGCTGTGGCTGACAATCAGCGAGAAGGGGATGTCAAAGTCGCTCTTCTTTCGCTTCGGACTGGCCGTGAACGGGGAAATTTATAGTACGAAATGCCTGCCGATGTCTGCCCACCCAACGTCCCCCAGCTGCATCCCATAGAGAATTTCTGGAGCAACCTGAAGCGTAAGATCTACTCCAACAAACTTGTCGCGAAAACTGGTGAGCAATTGTTAAATAAAACGAAGAAAGAACTCAAAAACATGCCTACACGCATGTTTTCGTCCGCCATGGCGAATGTTCCGGTTAACTGCCGCTCGCAAGGGCGTAGATTTTTTTTGCAAGTAAGCTGAAATAATTACCTTCCATTGGAAATTTATCAAAAGAAATTATCTGTCTTAGCTTTTTCTTTATCACCATCCGAAAAAAGTCCATTTTTTTAATGCAAACGTTAGTCGAAATATGCCTATTGGTTGGAACCACTTTCATCAAATACTTTGGAAAACTTTGAATATTAATATAATACTTCTATTGATTAGCCCCTTGAGTTTTCCTCCCCCGTAGAATCATTGAAAAAAAAAAAATAAACAATCCATTTGAGAAATGGAACAATTCAAGCTATAAAGGGTGGAATGGTTAAAAATTGGTCAAATATAATTAAGTGGGAATTGATTATGTTACTATATAAATGATCAAACTTTATTTATTTTTGAAGTTCAACGGCTACAAAATACAGAAATATCATTGTATTAGGCTTCCGACTTTGCAAATGTGAACTGCCGGGCCTTACGTTTCACACCATCCATCAGATTTTGTACCGCTGTTCGATCAACCGTATTTGATGCTGAACGTCAATTTGCTGTGAACTGTTTCTCATTTTCAACTTTTTCCTGAGTTTTCTTGAGGTTTCGCTTAACGATTGTCCAATATATTTCGATTGGGCGCAGCTCCGGCGAGTTTGGAGGGTTTTTGGCGTTGTTGGCGGTTGTTGCTGGTGTTTTTCGAACCTCGCATGGGCTCTGCATTGTTGAACTGCCTTGAGGAAAGACTGGCCTGTCCGTTTGGTCTCCTTGTAGCTATTGTGGCCCGTGCCACCAAAGCTTTGCTGATGAGCAGAAACTCTGCTGATGTTCCTCGGGACAGGCAATTTGCTGGATTCTGTTCACCAGCTACGTGCCTTCAGATGCAGCTCGATGTGGAAAGCTGTATTTTGGACACCCTGTTAGCCACAAAGGCGGTCCAAGGAGGCGGTGGAGACTTAAAACTGTTGTCGAATTGACCCAAAAGTACGTTTCAGCTGTCAGAGTGAAGAACTTATTTTTGCATACAGTTCGACCGATAGAAGCGCACCACAGAGCTCCAGAGAGAGCGAGCCGTTTGGTGAGCAATGCGGTCGAGTCTAGTTGGGGCATCTTCACCTTGCATCTCAACACGTCGGTGGTTGGATCCCAATGAAGGTCAAGCGTTTTGATTAGTTGGTCGCGATCTAGATCCACTGGCTGCTGCAGAGCCTTGTTTTCAGCGGGGACATCTTCCAAGACCGCGGGTTTATTCGATGTCCACTTACGTAATTCGAAGTTGCCTCTTGCCAACAATGCTTGCAGTTGTTTTCGTCGGTTATGTTGCTGCTGGCTCAAAAGAGATCTTCGACATAAACGTCCTTGTGTAGGACAGCCGCTGCCTCTGGGAAATTATGCTGTTCATCCTCGGCAAGTTGTTGCCAGAAAATGGGCACTTGCGGTGCCGTATGTTATCGTTTTTAGCTCGCAGGTGCCTAGAGTGCTGCCGATGTAGAGAAGAATCCCGTCCGTCAAGAAGTATTTGGCGATCCATTTGCTTCATGTCCGCAATCAACATCACAGGATGAATTCTCGAGCGCAGAACGATGGATTTGATGTCGTCTTGAACTATTGGCCCAACCATCAGGACATCATTTAGAGACGGGCCACTGCTGGTTTTGCAGGAGTGCTCTCCTCACGTACTACGGCATTATGTGGAAGGTGATAGGTGCCGGTGGATGAGTCTTCATTGGGTGAAAACACGTTCCATGTGGTCTAGCTCGTGGTACTCCTACATAAAGTCTGAATATTGTTTACACAAGGTTGAGTCATAGAGGTAACTCTAAGACCACTGGGTCCCGAAGAAAATCATTATTATTTTTGGCTCACTCAGTACCAGAACAACGGTCCCAAGCAGTCCCAAGCTATTTCACTCACCCCTGCATGTTCTGCATGAATCCACACACCCCTGATGTTATCTGCCAAACTTTCATAGCGAATCAAAACAAACATAGTGTAGTAATAGAATTTCAACTAGAATAGGGTACGTTAATCGTTTGCTT